AAAACTTCCTGAAGGGGGTGAGATTAACAGGAGTTCCACTCTTAACTCTAACTACAAGTTAGCCAGGCCAAAAAAACCTGGAAGGGCAGAGTATTTTGGTAGCTGGATCTACATGGTCAAAGTGATATCTTGTGAAAGACACTGAACTTAGTTCAGTTCGCTATGGCTGGGGGGTGGGGGGGGGAGAGAGAGAGAGAGAGAGAGAGAGAATGTGTGTGTGTTAGCACGTGTTAGAATAGGAGTAGGGGGGAGATTGTGAAAAAGATGGGTCTGGGAGACTATTTGAAAAATGGTCAGGTCTGTGTTAGCTCTTGCCTGGACTGTTAAAGTAATTACTTCACTGGTCTCCCCTGCCCGGCTCGTGGCCACTTCAGGAGCTCCCGCCCTCCTGTCTGATGAATTCATGAAGTACAGCTTTGCCTATGTGCTGATAACGTCCCCGACCCGTCTCAGTGGCTCTCCCCAGTCTACAGAAGGAAGTAGACAATTTGTAACTCAGTTTTTAAAACTGTCCCCAAACTAGAGTCAGCCTATTTTTCACACTTCTTTCTCACATCTCTTACTATAAATGTATTATTTGTCATCGATGCTTCAAACTATGCTCTTTCCTCTACCTGGATATCTTTTGTAACTCTTCATGTTTAAATTCTACCTCTTCTTCAAAGCTATTATCTGATTCTTCTAAATGGAAACATTCTCTTTTTCCTTCAAATTATGAGAACTCTTTAACTGAGTGTCCCTTCCCTCCTTATATTCTAGTTATTTAGGTGCATGCCTTATTTCTCTTCATGAAATAATGTCTGATTCATTTATTGTCTTCACTGCCCCACAGCACTGAGAGCATGAGAGGCCTCAACAAATGGATGATGAATAAATGTATAAATGAGTCATTTTAGAAGGTAATAAGATTTAAGGTGAAGTATATTCAAGGCAACCCCTTGACAACAATTGACAAGGCAACAGCTCTCCTCTCCTCTCCTCTCCTTTCTCATCCATTCATTGCCTATATTCTAGCTTACTTTTCAGTTTGATTAAGAGACAGTGAATCAGTTGTTTTGTTCTGCTTTCTCTTTCATCTGTGTCCATGTAGGTGTGTCTGTGCGCATGCACTGTATTTCTTATCTGATATATATCTAGCTCTTTTAGAACAATTTCATAGACTCTGTATGCTCTGGTATTATTGCAAGAAACACAAAAGAAACCTTCTGTTTAACTTTTGATAATTTCTAATGGGCTGGGACATACCAATTTCCAATTTCTCTCTGTGGATTGTTGTAAAATCATGTGTTGCATCTGCAAGCAAACAGCAACAACAAATTAAAGTTACCCCCAGCCCCTAGATTATCTAGGCCATCCATACCCTGCCTACCCATCAGTGGGATGCATGGGGGCTCTGACATGTCTAGTACTTCCTAACTTCATTGCTTCACAGTGGTAGGGCCTTACATCGGATATTTAACCTCTGAAAGCTTCTGTTTCCTCATTTGTTATCGGAGGCTAATAAGAATCACTTCTTGGGATTGTCCTGAGGGTAAATGATAGATAATATTGTGAGAGTTAACGATAGACATTGTAATTACACCTGAACAGGACACAGAGGAGGTCACCATTAGGGTAAGGATTCTATCCATTGTAATGGTCTTCCTAAGCAAATGGTAGTAATCCTGTGGAGACCTCATATCTTATTTGAAAATTTACAACATGCCAGTTTACGTCCATAAATACTTACTGCAGCTATGAAAATTTTAAGTTGAGCATAGGCAACTTACAATTGAGTCGTAAAAGCAATACTGTGAAGATAACTTAGGAGCCCACCTAAGACCTCTAGCCCTCAGTGGATGAGAATGAAACTAAACTATATAGGAGCTGTTATTAGTAATCTAAAATGCCATCAATATCTTTGATACATTCTTTCTTTAGTGTACCGTCAATGTTGAGTATATAACAGATATACTTAAGGGCTCTCATGGGTACATTGATGACACAGATCCTTTGACCCTCTTTTTCCCATGAGCTCTTTTGCTTCCTATGAACAAGATGTTCAGAAGCAGGTGGTGCTGGTCTGAGGCACCGAGGCCCAAGGGAATGAAAGGTAGTAGCTCTTTTTGTGCGGTCCTTGCCCTTGAGCACCCTTTCCACCACTGTAAAGGGAAGGAGCTGTGAGAAAAACAGACAGGTTAGAAACAGAAATATCAGTCAAGGGATAGTCAGATAACATTAGCAGTTGTCCTGGAGTCATTGGCAAACACTGGGTTTGCAGGAACTATGGAAAAAGTTGTGACTGATGTGTAAGTGAGAATGTGGATTGGTATATATAGACTAACCAATGGTCCTCAGAGAAGCAGTCATTAGAATCATCTGGGAGCTTGCCTGGGACCCAGCCAAGATCAATGAAATCAGAATTTCTGGAGGTGGATGCTGGGTATAGAAATGTATTATTTATAATGTGCAGCCATGGTTGAGGACCAGTGGCCTAGGCCTTACGGTACCATTGCAGTGATGTGATAGCTGGGACACGGGAAATGCCCTCCTGTCTCTTAAATTGCTTATTCATCCTACAAACATTTACTAAGAATGCTTAGGTTGCTCAGTTAGATTTAGCCCTGTCTTTAACAAGTTCTTAATCTAGAGGAGTAGACAGACTTGTGGAAATTACCTGTAATACAATTTGACAGGTGCTGAGTTCACTACTGTGAGCTTTCTCTCTCTGGCAAGAAAGTAAAGAGGAGGAAGGGAGGGACAGTGAGAGAGAAAATGTCCCCAGAAAGTGACATTTGAAAGGGTCACCTCTCACAATTAAATTTAACTTAAGAAAATGATTCCCTATTATTATCAACTCCTTTTAAAATACCAATGCCCCGTTTCCTAATGGTAAGAGAAATGAGCATTAGTTGGCTCTTACCTTGGGCACTGGGAAAGCTTTCTCACAGCCACTCAGGAGCTATGTTACTTGGATGCAATATCACAGACGAAGGTACTGTTGAGCTAGGAGTTGAGTACCTGCATAAGGTCACATAGCCAGTGGGCAAAGAATTACAGTGAATCCAGGTCTCCTTGGCTCTAGATGCGTGTTTTTTGTGCTGGACTGTGTACATTGCCATCCTCAGCTACTTAGAGGCTTAGTGTGAGTTCATTAGAAGCTAAGATTCTAACTCGATGGTGAGCTGAAGGACTCTGGAAAAGGGGAGGTTGAAGGAAGAGGAGAAAGGGTGCTTTTAAGCTTATCCAGAGAAGTGGAACTGAGTAACAGGAAGCAGGGTTTGCAAGGTTCCAGGGATGTAAAGAACATACTTAGGAGAGTGAGAAAGGCCCAGTGATGTCCATTTATTGAGTACCAGACCATAATTGAGGCCCTTGTGTACATTCTTTCCTTTAATACTTACATCATCCCTAGGATGGTATTCTTATCTTCGTTTTTATAGAAGAGGAAGTTGGAAGTTTAGTGAGGTTGATAATTAACCAAAATCTCACTACTAATAAGTATCGAAGTTGGCATTTGAACAAACAACTCTGTGATTCTAGCTCATGTGATGTTAACCATTGAGCTGGGGCTCAATTGCTTTTTTATGTCAAGTCCTGGGACGTTTCCTGTGTGCAGATTTCTAAGGCCTGAATATGAGAAGCTTACGAGCTAAGGATACAGATAAATCCAACAAGTGACCATATTCCTTATCTGGGTGGGCGGAGCAGAGTACAAAGATGGGGTTGGGTAACAGTAGTAAGAAGTTACCTGAAACAGGTAGGGAAGAAGGGAAATAAAACTGATGAAGAGAAAATGGGACTATAGCATGTGAGTTGGTAGAGGTCCTGGAGAAGATGCTGAAGGAATGTTTGAGAACGTTATTGGACAGAATATGTTACCTTCTGAAATACAGGCAGGACTTATTCACTGGTAAACAGTTGTTGGGCTTACTGGCCTGGCCCAGAGGGTGGGCACGAGGGTGAGACATGACACTGCCTTCTGGAGGCAGTTGGCATGGAGGAAAGATGTATAAACAATGCACAGTAAAGCCGTGTGACTCTGTTAGGAGAGAAGCATGCGCAAAGTACCAAGGAAGGTAAACAACGGAATCGCTACTAACAAGCACTTGCTTTAGCCAGAGGGAGGGAGTAAATTCATGCATACGTTGCTCTACTCACTGCATCCAAGCCTGGTGTTTAGCAGACGGGGCTTTCAGCCTAAATGTTGTTGATATGGTAGCAAGAGAAAAACATCAGGTGACAGCAGCCTGTGCTTTTCGAAAACTCTTAGGTTCACATTCCGGCTTATTAAAAAACGGTGTTGCCATGCCGGGCGTTCTTGTGAGGCCCAACATCTCTGTACTTTTCATCTTAAATAAGCACTTAAGAATATGCTCTGCAGCCTCTGATTGCCTTTGAGAACAGAGCAACCTTGTGATGATGAAGCTTTTTCAAGTGCCTCTGTTTAAGTGATGACTTCAATACCCTCCTGCCTTAAAAAGAGTCTTCTTATAGATGCCTGTAAGAGTTTCATAATTCACAGACATCTTGTTTCACTTGTTTTTTTTTTTTTAGAGATTTTATTTATTTATTTGAGAGAGAGAGAGAATGAGACAGAGAGCACGAGAGGGAGGAGGGCAGAGGGGGAAGCAGACCCCCCGCTGAGCAGGGAGCCCGATGCGGGCCTCGATCCCGGGACTCCAGGATCATGACCTGAGCCCAAGGCAGCCGCTTAATCGACTGAGCCACCCAGGCGCCCTCACTTGTTTGTTTATTGTGAACATGGATCCTTTCTCAGAAAGCTACTGGAGGATACTAGAAACATGAATTCTTTCTCAAAATTCTTTCCCCAAATTCCTGTTTTATTCCCAGTGATGATTTTTAAGTAACTTTCGTGGAGTGTCATTTCTTTAGATATTTGGGGACGTGCCTTGGAGAGTCGGTGGAAGTGTCGGGGGTGGGAGTGGGGTGAGAGAAGGAGCCAGGCTCAGATAGCCTGTGTTGTGATGCTTTTTTTTCTTCAAGAGATTTTTTTTCACCCTTACTGCCTATGCTGCTGCAGTCAGCATCCAATAGAGATGTGTTCTGGGCTCAGGAGCCAATTGCCTTTCTCCTCGCTGCAGCCTGAAGTCTGAGAGAGGGCTGATGGCTGTGAACAATTTTAGCAAATTGTCATGGGGATGTGGGGGGAGGGGAGCGCTTTCCCCACAGGAACAGAGCCAGTGTCATTGAGCACATTTTGTTCAAGTGCAAAGTTGACCTGTCTGAAGGAGACAGTGGTCAGCAGTGGTGAGGACCTTTGTCGCCTCACCCTCTCTTCGTGCTCTGTCATTGTTGTTTATGGGAAGAAGTAGCACTTAATCGCTGGACTTGAGATCAGATCTGTGAGGTCAGCAAGCGACAACATTTGTTTTCAGTTAGGGAATCCCAGAGGTTAACAGAGGAGTCTGGATGAAAAATTGGGGGAAAGAAAAAGTGTTTGATATTCAGCAAAGACGATGATTTCTCTAAAAGGTTTTTAAAGAGCAGTATAGTGTAATAATTTCTGCATGCAATTGACAAACAAAATTTTGGACATCTGTTACAGTTGAGAAAATTAAGCACTAATCCTATGCATAGTATACAGTATCCCAACTAGTGGACTTGGCTGAAAGATTTACAATGGAAATATTGAAATGGGACTTTAAAAATATTGCATAATATTATTCTTTTAAGATTATCATAACTAATAATGAATCTTATTTTAGGTATGTAAAAATAGTGCTACCTTATATTTGTAGGTATGTGTATCTAGAAGGTATGAACATAGCAAATGCCTCATAGAAATACAAGGTGATAGTGTTATTAAACTGCACCAAGATGTTTTACCTCTTTGATTTTCTTTAGTTTATTTTATATTGCTGAATAAAAGACTTATTCCTTAAAACCGGTCGTCCTCTCTATATCACTAACTTCTATTTTTCATTTTATATATATAAAGAATATAGATACACATTTATGTATGTTTATATAAATATACATTTATATATACATATATATATATACACTTATATAAGTCAGTAAATATATATATAAAGAATATATATATTCTTTTTTTCTATATAAACTCACCTTTTCTGTATATGTGATATATCCATTATCCATTGGTATATCCATTGTTATATCCAAAAATCCATTTGTGATATAACCAAATCACAGAGGCCAGTCAGGGGAATCCATAGATAATCCAAGAACCTCTTGCCTTGCTAGGTGTCTTGTTGAAATGGATAGCGTGAAGCAGAATCTTAACTTGTCTGGTGTTCAGTTATTTTCTGCTGTTGACCCTATAGTATAAGTCCTGCTGAAGGAAAAAATAAATGACAGATAAACTGAAATTTATAAAAGAATCTAATGCTTTCCATTACTTTGGAAATACCATGTGGGTTAGTCTTCTCCAGAATCAGTTGTTATATTGTGAAACATTTTTTCCTTTGTAGACCTCAACAGAGATGGATGCATTAATTTGGCTCTGACCTATTCTGGTTAGAGTCATCCATGTTTTAGTGTGAGTAATGATTAGAAAAACATACATACATGATGTAAAAGTGATCATCAGCACGAATGAATCTCTCTGGCATGGTGGTGAACAGTGCCAGCTCTGTCGTTAGACTGCTTTCATTTGGTTATGTGCCCTTGGACAAGCAGCCACCTCCCCACACCCCCACCATCTCCTCCCCACATACCTTTGGAGGGGTATTTAAAGATGGAGGGCTTTTGCGTTGCCAATGCACTAGGACTGTAAAGGACTGTTTAAACAAGTCTTCCAAAAGATTGTTAAGGAAAAAAATTAAATGCAATTGACTTGAGACATTTACCTTCTTTTTACGCTTAGGAAATCCTTAGAAATATAACAGATATAGTCATGTAGTAATCCACCTAATAATGGTATGATGATGAATTGGGTACTATTTCTAAAACATTTTGTATTTCTCAATTGGAAGGCATGTGCTACAAATAGAGCACTAAATTTTATTATGTCAGTGCTAGGGTTTTTAATTATTAGCCAAGATCGAAGAGTGTCTGATTTGGATGCCATAAAACTTCAGAAGTGTTTCTGCTACAAACAGTTTAGAAGTCTGACCGTTGCTGTACCGAAAAAATAATGAGACAATTGAAAAAATAATAGAAACATAGTGACCTGACATTTCCAATTTTATGATACCATAAAAAAGCAGCCAAGAAATGTTGGACTGTTTAATGATGCTGGCACCTACCAAATGTCACTGGGCTTTCACAAGGTCGTGGAGACTCTGGTTTGACTCAGGGATGTTGGCCAGACCCATGTTGGGAACGGAGGAAGACTGTGGAATAGGGACAGACAGTAGGTGCCAATTAAACCCTTCACTTAACTTCATACAGTAGGCTACACACTTCTGTGGGATTCTGCGGGGTAGAGGAGAGGCCACGGGTGGGTGTAACTAAAAGGTGAGCCCATTTCTTCTTACAGCATCCCATCACAAACATTTCTTAACATAAGATCCTTGTGGGCCCTCACTGAAGAGACTAAAATTTCTTCAGATGACTGTCAGCTAAAGCTGTGTGTTGATGTAACTGTTGCGGTCACAGTTGTATGTATATGTGATCTCTCACAGACAAAAGCTGCTGGAGAAAGGAGTGGTATTTTTGTCACAAGAATGTGTGTGATTTGTTGCCTTTTTCCCTTTCCCCACTTCCTCAGACTCTCATGCCTTACATAATACTTCTTGAGATGTGTAGAGTTTCAGTTATGCCATGTTCAAGATGATTAATGGGAGTTGTGCAATTAAAGCTCCTAAGTTCTCTGGGAAAAAAGTCATAGTATCCCGATGTTTGAGTTAGAGTACGTTGAGTTTGCGTCAGCATTGAGGATATTTTGGGATATTGTAAATGTCACCATTGGTTTTAATGTCCAAGAATCTTCATCATCACACTTAGGAATGTTCTATGAAATAGTGCCTAGAACAGCCTTTGAATACTAGCTAGAAACGTCGAAACCTAAAATTGCTGGGTTGAGATCACATTAGCCTCTGACGAGAAAATGTTTAACCCGAGTGAAACAGAGTCTGTTACATTCCTTCAGGCCATGGTAAAATTACAAATTTGAACTCAACAGATTGTGTGTAGGTACCTGGGTTTGTATTTTTCTTTCTTTTCCTCTCAGTCTCTGTCATTGTTAAGCCATAGTGTATGTGTGAATATGAACTTTTTATGGGATCAAGAAAGGGAACAATCTAAATTGGCCTTCTATTGTGTTTCATTCGAAAATATTTTGAATCTCAGGTAAAATAATTTAAGAAATTGAGACTATTTCAATAAAAATACATTCATAAATGTCTGCTTTTTTCTCTCATTGATAGAAAATGTTCCCAGCTCTTGTGCTGACCTCTGAGCTCTAAGCATTTGGCCATATGTTGATTGAATGAATGTATAGTAATTTACACCTAAAAAGTTAAGCTTTAAATATTGATTAGTGTTACTGTATTTACTTCATGTTAAGTTTAGAAGCCTAGAGATTATTAAATGCCCACCAAAATAAAAGGAGAATTGACTCCTTTCTTCATGTTCTGTAGGAATGCTAAACCTTTGTTCCTGGTGTGGCCTGGAAGTCCAATGAGGAAATTAAAACAGGAAAAGTAGTGTTTGGTGTAAAGAATATTTATCTTTCCGCATGGTAAAACTCTGAAATAGGTACAGGGTGCAAAAACAACAACAACAACAACAAAATTCCCATTTTGTTATCTGAGTTAAAGGGCTATAATATTTGAGAATAAAAATAAAATAGAAAAATTATTGTTAACATGTTAATATTATATATTTACTATATTATACTAAAATATAGTAAATACATGGTATTGGCTTATTAAGAGTATATATACTATATATATATATATATACACACACAATATATATATAGTATAGTACACTTTATAAAACACATCAAAACAAAACAATAACATAAAATCAGTGAAATCTCCATGGAGATTTTCTAAGGAAAAAAATGAAAATATCTGTTCAACTATATTAGGGATTTATACCAAATGATAGTTCAGTGTTCTTTGGGATTTTATTCTGGAGCTTTCTATAAGTCCTTATGTGTTTTTCCAAATAAAACATGAAATGTAAATTTTAAGTCTTATATTCTAGGTTTCTTAAATTTGTAACATGAACAGAATCTAAGTTTGTAATACTTATGCTGCTCTCAGAAATAGGTACATAACTTGGGTGAATATGTGTGTGTGTGTGTAATTACTTACATATATATGTATACATTTGCATATGACTAAAAACATTATGCAGTGGGTCCACAGGAATTTCAGGTGGTGGTCAGAAGTCGTTTGTTATTTTTCTGGGTTCTCTGGCTACTTAATTTATCTTTCTCAGCAGCTTCTTTTCCAAAGTAGGGGCTATATGTCTCATGTTTAGTTATCCTGAAAAAAACTTTCTGTAGGGAAGTAAAACCAAGAAAATGTTACTTACCCTTAAAGTCAGCATAGCCAGTATTCTAGTTAACAGGTGAATGGAGCTATTAATATGATTTTGGAATTTAATTATTTGCTTTTTTACATACCACAGCCTTTATTTGTTTTAATTTCAAATTAGAGAAAAATCAGCATTGAAATTCACATGTTCATACCTTAAAAATTTTTAGAAGCCATAGCTATTAGAATTCGACAAAATTAGAAGGAATAACTGGTCAACCACCCACTCTTTTTGAGTCAGGTTTTATAGGACAAATCTATTATCTTATGTTCGAGGAAATTGACAGACATTTAAATGTAGTATGAAAATACTTAAAGCTAATTACAAATAACTTTGGGTTGGCAGTTTTTAATTGCGTGCTCCTTTTATGGACTGAATGTTTGCTTCCCCCTAAAATTCTTATGTTGAAGCCTTGTTTCCTGTATGGCTGTATTTGAAGATGGGGCTTCTAAGGAAATAATTAAGATTAAAGTCACAAGAGTGGGACCTTGATCTGATAGGATTAGTGTCCTTATAAGAGACACCAGGGAACAAACTTTCTCTCCTCGTGCATGCACCAAGGAAAGGCTGTCTGAGGAATAGCAAGAAGGTAACTGTCTACAAGCCAGAAAGCACTCTTACTAGAAACTGTGAGAAAATAAATTCCTGTTGTTTAAAACACTCAATCTGTGGTATTTTGTTGTGGCAACCAAAGCAGATTAATACAGCCCCTATTAAATTCCGTTAGGTTTAAAGCAGTGGTTGACTCCCAACTGGAGATGATTTTGCCTCCCCCTCACCCCTAGAGAGGTTTGGCAATACCTAGAGACAATTTTCATTGTCATAACTGAGGACAGGAGTACTGCAGGCATTTAGTGAGCCAGGCATGCTGCTAGACATCCTATAGTGCACAGAACAGCTAGCTCCACAGCAAAGCCTCTATGGCCCAAAATGTCAATAGTGTTGAGATTGAGAAAGCTTGAGCTTCCTTTTAGGATGCGTTTGTTCTTGTAAGCTGGAGCAAGTCCTTTATGGAAACGGGTAGATTGTAAAGAAACATACATTTAAAAGCAACAATACCCTGTGTATTAGGTACAGTTAATTTATTTCCAATATTTGCAAGCCAATAAACTGTAATTTCTAGAGTTAATCAAACTCCTGTCCACCTAAACGAAAACAAAACAGTGAGTGTATATGAGTGTGCATGCGTATAATTTTTTCTAAAAGTTAATCACATTTTAAACCGCCATAAATTTCCTACCACTTAGATGCTTGTGATTTTAAAATATTGTATATGTAAATTTGTTCACCTTGTATTAGAATTGATAATTATAAATTAGCATGGTAGAACCGTAAGAAACATTTTTGGAAATGCATGAAACAGTATTTCCTGACTGCCAATTTTTTTTCCCCTTTGGCAAAATTTTTGTGAGATATTTCTATCATCTTAGCTGAAAAAAAAAAAGTAAGGATTTTCAATAGGAAGCTACCAAATTCCTTTGCCAGAGTTTCTGGCCAATATCTGAGCAATGAGTATCTCCAGAGAGTGTTTCAAAAACATTTGTATATCTCAGTTGTCCCAAAGGAAATACTGGTTTTGTTTTAACAATTGAAATAAATAGTTGCAGTTTGAACAGTTTTTCCTGAAAACCAGTATTTCCATTGAAAGTTGGAAACGACTTATGAGTATAAGCTGGTAGCCTTACAATTTTTTCATTGCCCCTTTATTTCCAGAGTTTACCCAAATATGACCGAATAATTTTAATTCTACCACATAGTTACCATTTGGCAGCTTAATAAGATGTCTTTTTATATTCTGACCTCATAATCACAGTATGCCTTTTATTTTAGGTAGAAAAATTATAAACAGTTCAGTTTGTCTGATTTCCAAATAGAATTTTGAATTTTTAGTTTATTAGGTTTCACCGATTTCTAAGGAAGGTGTTTCATTTTTGATCTTAAATAAATACTAAAAATAGCTCAGAAACCATTTTTTATACTCTAAATTGCCATCTGTAGTTCTATTCAGTTTTATCTTTATTCTACAATTTACATCTCACTATATACATCATATACTCTGTATACATACACACAATTTTTAGATATGCACTTTATATGCTCATACTATTAATTATTTAAAAGTACACTTCACTGGGGCACCCGGGTGGCTCAGTCAGTTAAGCATCTGCCTTTGCCTCAGGTCATGATTGCAGGACGCTGGGATCAAGCCCCATGTAGGGCTCCCTGCTCAGTAGGGAGCCTGCTTCTTCCTCTCCCTCTGTCCCTTCCCTCTGTTCGTTTTCTCCCTCTCTCTCTCTCAAATAAATAAATAAAATATTTTAAAATAAATTTTAAAAAGTGCACTTTATTAAACTAAGATGTTTAAAAATTATTTTGAAGCTCACACAGTTAATCTAAACATACATTTTCCTTTGTTATAATCACAAACTCGTACGCATTTCAAAAGCTGATGAGAAAAATCCTTAAATTCACAGTTGAACAGTTTATAACTTCAGAAATTAAAGACTTGATGAGTTGATCTCTTGAATGACCATGATTGGTCTCATACAGACTTTTAAGACTATAAGGGGAAAATTTTGACTTTTTTGGAAAGATTACTTTTAAGGTAAGGTAGAAAAAATATTGGAGAAAAATGGACTTAGTCTGAATTGATACTTTACTGAACTTCCTCCATTCCCTTAAAATATATAGTATGTACATTACAATGATGTCTTTGAATTCTGTGTTCAGTTAACCTATAAAATGCCATTTTGAGTGGCGTCGAAGGTATTTATGGTATAGACCCTATAGAGTAGCCTGCTAGTCAGCTGGCTAGCTCACTGACAGTAAATGTCAGTACAATCAACAAAAGCAAACGACAGCAATATAACACTATAAGAAATGTATTAGAATGGCATTTTCCGTAGTGGATGTGGCAAATGCAGAATGATGATTAAGGGCCAAGCTTATATTATTAATGATTGACATGCATTGTCACAGGTTTCCTTTTTGTATTTTTTTTTAGTACTTTTAACCGATACAGTGCTAAATTAAGCAACTGCTGTTTATTATTAGTTTATTGAGAGCCTGTTATATCAGGAGCCATGAATGAAGTTGGCGCACTGTCTTGCTCAACCCTTATACATCACGAGTGAAATCAGTGGTGGTGCTGCTTTTCTACCGAAAAGGTATGGCCACTCAGAGAATTTAACTCCTACAGGGTCACACAGTAAGGAAATAACAAAGCTGCTATTCTGCAGTTCGAACCAAGCTATGTTGTATAGAGTGTACGATTATATGGCAACAGGTAGAACGGCATAGAGCAATCAAAACGGAATAAAAACTACTTTCTATTTTAGCATTACTCCTAGCAGCCCAATTTAATGTATCTTGGAGGTGATATCTCTGGATGATTTAGAATATAGTCCCTTTATACAAATTTGCATACATGAGCGCTAGATCTGACTGAATTTCTGTACTTAGATTTTTGGAATGTACTGTGACTGTATAGATTTTAGGACACCAAATACATCACATCTCCACACAAATCTAGTTTCATCCCTGGTGAACTTATGAACCTTCTGTTACCTTTCCTCCCTTTATTATGGCAAACTTTATCGGGTGTTCAAATTACTGGCCTCTGAATAAAAGCGTAAGTTAGTACAGCTCAGAATCAAAGTTTGGTATTGAGAGTTAGTTTTCATTCTATTAGTTTCATTGTCTCCAGAACAGAGTTAGAGTAGAATTCATCTTTAAGGAATTATTAAGAAGTGTTCATTCATTCATTTTGCAAATGCGTATTGAGGTATGGTGCTGGGACCTCAGGTGTAGACTGTGGACGAACATGGAGAGTACCAGTGGGCACGTTCACCGTAACTCAACAAAAGGTATTCTGGTGATTTTCTCCAGAGTTTTAGGCAGTCCTCTAGAAGAGGATGTTTATTCTGACTTTTTCTTGACCTTTTTATTTGTCAAACCACAATTATTCAGCAGCATAGCCAGCATTAAACACGTTTTGAACTCCCTAGGAAGCTGAGTTTATCTAACGTCAGTTGCAGAGGCTACTCTGGTTTTTTTCCCACACATGTCAATGGAAAATTCACGTGGCTTTGCAGAATTGTGTTTTTGCAGTGTTTTTTTGCCTGATATAGCAATAATGTGGAATACTATTAAAATGCAGATCTCTGGGCTCCCCCAGAGCTACCACCACAGACTGTGGAAGAGGCCTGCTCATCTGCATACCTTTTCACCGAATATCCTCAGTTGATTCTTAGGAACATAGCTTTTGAAAGTGAAGTTTCAGTGCAGTCAAATCAAGCTGTGTATAGAAAGGTAGCATATGTAAGAAATTAGAATGGCATTTTTCCTGAGTAAGTATAAATAAAAAAATGAAAACCAAAGGTGTGAGCTTCTCTTGAAAGGTTTGACATGATCTGACACAGAATGTATATAGGGCAATATGATTTGTCTCCATTATTTCAATCTGAGCTGTGTTAATAGGGAGGAGGGGCTGAGTGGTTTGTGTGTCGGGAGGCACTGGGATGAAGAGCTTAGGAAGATCAGTGTTAGTGTTGGCCAGGCCTAGTTCAAGGCCTAGGGCTATTTCTGTGCTATTTATGGAGCTATAGAAACTGATCTGAGTGAATTGACAGTAACCGAATCCTCGGGGTGGATATAATCTTGCCTATTTTCACTTAAATAGATCCAGTATTAGTATGAAAAATAATGTGGCGATACTGAGAACCAGAATTTCTCTTAGAGCCAAATTTTTCTTTGTCCTGAGAGAAAGCAGTTTTCTCTAGGACACCTCAACTGGGTAGCCCTGAGATCATACCACATGTTAGCCATGAGTTTATTTATGTTGGCCAGGCGTTCTCTGTGGTTTCTCCTGTGACTCTTAAGTGTTGTTTTTGGGTAAAAGTTGCTTTTCATCCGGATGCTTTCAAGCTAATAACATGCTCATGATCTCAACAGATACCAAGCATGATTTCCTGTGGAATAAGTCATAAATATATAAATGTTACTTTGTGAACATATCAATAGGCATAACTAAGAGATATTATAAAAATTACCTTCATGATGATATTTTGTTTTTCTTTTGTTGGGTATATGATTAAAGGGGGTGGGGGTGGTGGCAAATAGCAGCTCCTGACCTTTACCTTGCTCACAGAGTGCCGTGCAGGGCCAAGGGCGTGACATATACATTATCTCCTCTGATCTTCATAAGAAACGTATGGTGTAGGTTTTATAGCATTTTTGAAATGCATAAAAGGCCTGAGACAAAAAAGTTAGTTTTGTATGCAGTTCCTGCTGCTGATGGGAGACCTAGGCCTCTACCCTAGGTCTTGGGACCTGACAGTTTCTTGGTATCAACTACTGTCTTCTGCCACCTTCTGATTTAAAACATTATTGGTGATGCTTTATTACATAAAGCTTGCTAAAATGAAAGGCAGTATCCTATGATATTAGCCCTTTGCAGAAACTTGTTCCTAAAAAACTGAATCAAAAACAAGCCAGAAATAGATCTTTCAAATTAGGACTGTGACAAGATTTTTGTCACAAACTCAAGCATGCTGCATCAGTTTACAGTATAAGGTCAAATGATGGCAAATGGATTTTTCTTAGAAAAATCAAAGAAAGCTCAGGAAAAGTGGTTGATGGCTTCAACTGAATCTTTTTTTTGACCCTCCCAGACAGTTCTTTTTTTTTTTTAGATTTTTATTTATTTATTTGACAGAGAGAGACACAGCGAGAGAGGGAACACAAGCAGGGGGAGTGGGAGAGGGAGAAGCAGGCTTCCCGCGGAGCAGGGAGCCCAATACGGGGCTCGATCTCAGGACCCTGGGATCATGACCTGAGCCGAAGGCAGACGCCTAACGACTGAGCCACCCAGGCGCCCCAACAGTTCTAATTAGATTTATTGGTGAAAGAAGTTGTCAAGGTAATAATTGATAAGACCTTTCATTATAAAGACTTGAGAACATATTGAAATAATATGGAAACAGTGGAATGATAGAATTGAAATAGTATGAAATAAATCCCTTATACACTATTTCATATTACAGACTTTAATACATATTTTTGATGAAAAGAAATGTCCCGAAAGGAAGGGTATATTCACATTTCTTACTTTTTTTAAATATTTTGTTTCTCCATTTTACATTATAAATCTTTTGAAGGGTATATATGTCTGTTTTCTATTGTTTTATAGCTCTTGGGCAGTGGAGACTAGATTTATCTTTGAAAGGTTAAAGGCTACGTTTTCCACCAGTGTTTCATTATACTTACTAATCTCTATGTACAGTGGGAACATATGGGCATTTTCTTTTTTTCGCCTGCAAATTTCTTAATATATGGGTTTGTAAAGCTTAGTAGTAATTTAATTTTATTTGTTATGAGATACTCGTAAAGGTGCTTAACTGAAGACAGTGTGCCTTGAATCCTCTTAAGTTCATTTCCTTAGAACTCAATACAAATAAAAATAGATGCTAAAACTTCATGTTTCTCTTGGGTTCATTAAAGTTAACCAGGAGATTTGGAAGGAGCTAATATTATTCTTCATTTCATATTCTTTATTTTAATCTTACCCTGGCAGTTTGTAGATTTTTAAACTTGGACCTAGAAATATTAGTGCTAATATTAAAAGAAGGGAACTTCTTTAAGCTTTAAGACTTTCTCAAATGTCTTAACACCTCATTTTGATAATGCTTTTGGGTGAATTCATTACTTATTCTAAATGTATGATAAATGGATATGGACAATACAGTGTGTTAGAAACCCATGGTAGATCCAGGTGGTAGGTTTGCATTATTTTTATTTTTTAAGATTTGCTGGTCTAATGGTATTTTAAATGGTATTTTCTGCTTTTTTTTTTTTAGGGTCGTTGCTCCAGGGAGAACTGCAAATATCTTCATCCACCCCCACACTTAAAAACGCAGTTGGAGATAAATGGGCGCAATAACTTGATTCAGCAGAAGAACATGGCCATGTTGGCCCAGCAAATGCAACTAGCCAATGCCATGATGCCCGGTGCCCCATTACAACCCGTGGTAAGCACGTTTTCAGTCCTCATTCATGAAGTTTGTAATTCCAAGTGCTTAGTTTCAGTATGAAAGTAATGAGTGCACTCGATTAAGTGAACATAGGTAACAGTATCAGGTGTCTAGCATTTTCTAACAAAATTACCAAGCAAAGCCTGAAACAGTTTTCACACTGTGAAGATACTCATCTTCTCGCTAAATCATGTGGAAATTTACTTATGGCATGTTTTCCCCCTAAAATTCTCTTCACATGAAATCCTGTGATTTGCAGGAGTTAAAATGGTCATCAAACTGATCAATATAGTCCATGTGCATTTTCAGACTCCTTTAATGGTAATAATATTTTTAAAATTTGGTATAGATCATCTTTAGTTTTGAGAAAAATTTTTCCTTTCCTGCTTCCTTGAAGAGAATCTGTTTGCATCATTTTCTTTATTGAAAAGGAGCCTTTGTTATTCTTTCAAACTCAAAGTGAAATTATTTTGTAGTTACAAATGCTAGCAAAATTTTGACAGTGGTGAGTCAATATCATGCATTAAAAGAGAACTAATCAGGAGAGGCAGAAACTCCCAGGGCTTTGAAGCAAAGAGCTAAATACTTTAAACTGTAGGTGGTCATAGAGATTTAATGTTTACTGAGCAGTGTATGTGAATAACTTTTGATTCTGAGCACATATCTTTATTTATTTATTTGGAGTTTGGGGGAGTGTATATGATAAATGACTTTAATAACCTTTACTCACATTTATTCATAAAAATGTAAGATTACTATCATAAGTAATTGTAGATTACAAAAGGTTATTCTGATGTTGATTGTGATATAGTAATTATGTATTTAAATGCATGTTAAAATTCGTAATGATCGGAATATATCTGTCAGTAATTTATGTCAGTAACTTATATGCACTGTTATGGGGTTGTGGGAATGTGAAGACCCACATTTTTCTGATATGCTGACTGTAGCATGTGTGCTAACTAATTTTTTTCCTAATACATTTTAACACCTGAACTCAATGTAATTATTATTCTCTCTTAGAACTTAATGCACCAATCATTCCAAAAAAGAGGGGGGGATTGCATTTCGAGGTGGGAGGGATCTCCATATCACATCGGCAGTGATACCAATTATCAGTACTATACAGTTGAGGTGAGAGAATATTATAATTCTGTGTCTGTTTTAACCTGATATATTTTTTTCCATTATTGGGGGCTCAGTTAAAAATATGGTATCTTAAATTTATTTTTGTGGCATCTGCTAGTATTATATCTGCATTGGGATAGCATGAAGATTTCCATGTGGTTAAAAAAAAAAAAGTTACAGGGTGCCTGGGTGGCTCAGTTGGTTAAGCGACTGCCTTCGGCTCAGGTCATGATCCTGGAGTCCTGGGATCGAGTCCCGCATCGGGCTCCCTGCTCGGCAGGGAGCCTGCTTCTGCCTCTGACCCTCCCCCCTCTCATGTGCTTGCTCTCTCTCATTCTCTCTCTCTCGAATAAATAAATAAAATCTTTTAAAAAAGAAAAAAGACAGTCATTCTCGCTAGCATAAAATACAGGACAAGAGGTGTCTTTCACAGCTGGCCCTCTCACACAGTTTCAGAGAGATCTGATAAATCCTTGGGGTGGCTACTACTTTAGCTGATCTAAGATTTCTCCTTGATGTGAGATATTTTGTTCCACTTAAACATTTAAAGGCTGCTAACCATCAGGCTCTACCCTCTCAGTGACCGGAAGCACCTCTGGTCAGCACGTGTTAATTCCTATACTGCCGGAAACAGTGCTGGTGATGGCATTGAGCTCCTCACTGTGAAGTCTTGGCCCATCTCCTGACTTAGTCCTTGAGCTTTACTCTCAGGGCCATTCCAGGGTCATCATAGGGGTCATCCTGGGACAGACTGTAAACAACATTTATGCTCATGTCTGTAAAATACAGTAACAAATTTGTGGTGTGCATGAAATCACGAAATCACAATTTCTGAAACCAGCAGACAAATCACATGTCCTGGTGTTTTTGTTGGAAAATTCTCTACTTAGACAAAACATTTATTTTTATTAGTTGTGAGCACATTGGGTTTTATGTTAATTTTCCCTGGTATGACTAGATTTGAATGCAGAATTATCCTTCTACTAAAGGCATCCTGAGATCATAGTCTAAAAATATACTCGGTTCAGGGTGACATTTTTGTAATAAGTATAGCAGTCATTTTAATTATTCAATTTTAAAACATTTGAGGCTTTAATGACTGTAGAGAAGGCTTTAATCCAGGAAATTTGTCTTCAGAATCCCACCTGAGACTTTTAGATCCTTTGTGTAGTCAGCCCTGCTGATGAGAGTAATCATACAGAGATTCAGAAATAAATGAGATGGTCATAACCAGCTGCTCACTGGAATTTGAATTCTGGGTCAACAAATAGGGATTATAACAAGGCAGGAAGCTGCCAGGTGACCAATGCAGAACATGGTTGCCACTCAAAGAGCATGGCCACTGGTATAGATATTAGTGTTCGAAGACACAGCACACGCTTGAATCCAGCCCAGGCAGGGGTTCTATCGAAGGAGGTGATACTGTGAGCAGATCCATAATATCAGGAGCGGTAGGAGTATCTGAGCAGTTTCAGGGTTTGTAGTCAAGTAGGTGAAGCCTCTTATTTTTTTAGGGCAAACCAGTTTGGCCCCTTAAACCGTAGCTGAGGGAACGCGAAGAGGGAGAAGGAGCAGGGAAGTTCTAATCAAATCTGGAAGCCTCTCCTATTGTGCCTGGCATATAGCAAGATCAAAAATTACTTGATGAGTCAAAGAATGAAGTAAGGAGTTTCTTGGATACAAGGAAGACAGGCAGAGGTTTGTGGTAGTTTACCTGGCCCTGTGATTCCAAAGGAATCGGCAGCAGGAACCAGAGTACAAGCCCCATCCTAGAGCCCGCAGCATAGAATGGGGCCTACGGCTGGATATATACTAGCACTCTATTAGCAGGGGCAGCCTGGGGCTCGATGAGGGTACCGGTGAGACCAAGCAGTAGCTGCTCTGCCACTCGGTTGGGTTTTCATCTTTTCAGAAATTTGGGAGACTGAGTCTCTCAATTTAAGGTCTTGAGAAGATGACACTGAGGTGACTTGGGAAATGCAGGGGTTTATAGGAGAGCTTCCTGTTTTCGTATACTTTATTCTGTTGTTAGGAAATGCACCAAGCCAAGAGGCAGAAAGAGGACTTCCATTTGGGGGGCAGATACAACACTCTAAGGGCATTTACTGCACTCACTACTTTTTGTATCATAAATCCTCACAACCGTCCTATAAAGTAAATGATATTTTCTCAACTTTAGAGGTATTTTATTTTATTTATTTTTTTTTATTATGTTATGTTAATCACCATACATTGCATCATTAGTTTTCCATGTAGTGTTCCATGATTCATTGTTTGCATATCACACCCAGTGCTCCATGCAGTACGTGCCCTCTTTAATGCCCATCACCAGGCTAGCCCATCCCCCCACCCCCCTCCCCTCTAGAACCCTCAATTTGTTTCTCAGAGTCCGTAGTCTCTCATGGTTCATCTCCCCCTCCGATTTCCCTCCTTTCATTTTTCCCTTCCTGCTATCTTCTTCCTTTTTTTTTTTTTTTAACATATAATGTATTATTTGTTTGAGAGGTACAGGTCTGTGATTCATCAGTCTTAACACAATTCACAACGCTCACCATAGCACATACCCTCCCCAATGTCTATCACCCAGCCACCCCATCCTTCCCAACCCCCACCACTCCCAACAACCCTCATAAAGACACAAGAGGTTTGGAAAGGTTAAGTAATTTGTCCAAGGTACATAGCTAGTGCTTAGTAGGGCCAAGATTTTAACCCAAGCTCTTCAGGTGCTAGCATTCAGGCTGTAGAAACACTAATTGGAGATATGCCACCAACCAGCTCTGGGTCCTTCGTTGATTCATTTAAAATCTCTGACCTTCATTAACATATAGTGATAAGTTTCAAATATATTATTATCTGCAAGTTCCTAACAATTTCATAATTATTTCTGTTTCATAAGATGAGAAAATAAGTAGTTGAAAATAAGTAATTGAATTTACCTGTGTGTCTACTCCCTGAAATTTGCGTAAGAAATTATTAAGTAACTGGCATTAATTCTATTATCATTCCTAAGCCCCTAAGAAAAATGTAAAAAGATCGTATTTCTCTTTATTATGTGATCTTTGAAGAGAAATGGAAGACCTATAGTATTTGATTATCCAAATGTAAAAAATTAAATATTTGGATTTTTTCTAAGTACTACTTTAAAAAAAAAAATTATTACATTGCTATGTACTCTCTGATGCAGAGATAATCCAACCAGAAAACTAAGCAACCTAACCAAATATAGACCGTATCTTGTGGCTCACAACTTGGAAGCATCTGGTGTATTTCTTTGATCCATCCCAGAAAGATGTCTTCAGCAGTTCTGTCGATTCCAGGCTTTTGTCATTGCCCTTGAAGAGCTCTGCATAAGGAATGGTTATGAAGAGCTGTGTCTGAGCTCTGCACTTCCACTCCAGTCCTGTGCCTTTTCCCTGCTCTCCCAAAGCTTAGCCTTGGCCATCGGTAATGTCTGAGGTCTGCTCCCCTTAAGGTACACACACACCTAGCTGTCTTGAGGTACATAACTCAAGTTGAATTCCTGTGCATTTCATGAATTTGAAGTAGCCTAGGGATAAAGAAATGCAAAGTTACCGGACTTAGCTAAAAAGTCTTGGGAGCTCTCTTGCTGTCCCCGTCGCCTCACTTTTGCTGCCCTGGTGTTCCCACCTCACGGTTGTTGGTGGCTGAGTGCTGAAAGCTTTGAAGTCACCATATGTCACATTTCCAGGAACACCTAGAATTCTTAAATTGGTTTTTAGTGCTTTACCCTCCAGGTTTCCCAACCTAGTGATTGAGATAAGGCCACTTCTGAGAAAGCATTTCCAGTAAAATGTGGCCACCACGGCCGTCATCCGTGCTCCATCTAGTGCCTGTTTCAGTCAAGGAGCCGGCCGGTGCTTCCTCCAGCAGCTTGCAGACAGGCCCGAATCTTAGGGACCAGGCCATATGTATTGATACCTTTTTACTCGCTGGGCCAGAAGTGAGTCTTCTTTATGTAAATGTTTGTTACTTCAGTAAAGCTAGATTGAAGTGGTAAGGTGGGATTAAAAATAAAGCCAGGTGGTCACTGTGATTTGCCCAGTCAACAAGTCAGTCTAGAAGCAGACTTTAAAATAGTATTTCTTATTTTATTAGAGTCATATGCTACACTCTTAGGGGAAAAAAAAAAGAGATTGTAATGTGAATTTGTTGGGAACGCCCCTGAATCTTTGGCTGTTTAATATTCAAAATAATTGTTTACAGGGACTTCTCTCACTCCTATATAGGGTTGTGTGCACCCAGAAACATGGCTTTTTACACCTTGATTATGTGCTGTCAAGGAACAAAAAAAGCTTTATTTTTTTACTACTTGCAGGTTCAACTTTTACAAACACACACACACACACACACACATGCACATGCAAAAAGGTAAAATCTAGAAAAATCTGAAAAAATTGTATTCCATAAATCGTATCAAATACTGATTAGATACTATTTATTACATATACTCCATTTTTTTTAAAAATCACAAACACTGTTTCACATAATGTATTAAAATAAGTTAGGGCCCCTATGATATTTGCAACATTACAGCATGGTAATACCACAGTACTGAAACTTAGAAAGCTCAGTATTTTAAAAAAAACTGCAAAACAAAACTAAAAGAAATTATACTTTTCAAATAAGCATCCTAGACCAATTAATGATTACATTGTCAAGTGGAAAGGAAGTAACATTAAATCGCTTTTTTTTTTTTTAACATTCACATAGCTATACTAGAAAATATTTAATGCATTTGCTAGTGAGTTTGTGTGCTGGAGAAACACAGCAAATGCATTAATACCGCCATGAAAGAAGTGTGTGCAGAGGGGGTGTGTCGATGGCAGCCGCAGGCTCCATGCAGGGTGAAGGAAGTGTGCAGAAGACACACTCGGATGCCTGCAGTCTAGTTTGAGGAGGAGAGAGGGTTAAGTAAACACGTGGTGATCAATGCCAAATTCGAGTGGTGAGGAAGGAGTTCTATGGTAACAGAGGGTAGGAAAAAACCTCTTCGTAGTTGGAGATGTAGGCGGATCAGGGGAAACTTGAAGAGAGAGTCGTGATTCTTGAAGCGTGATTAGAATTAAACAGGAGGGCTGGGCAGGAACAACCTTCCATGTAGAGGGAAAAGCATTGTTGAGAAGAAAGCTGTGAGGAAACATGTCTCCTTGGAGACCTCACATACAATCCAAAATCGGAACCTGTTTCTGTTCTTCAATAGTAGAAGACCACGTAATGTATAGAAGGGGAATGTCCCAGGAGAGTTTTAAATAGTACTGACGGGATTGTGATGAGTGGGGAGAGCCAGGGCGTTCAGGGGTTGAAGTTCTCCAGAGGATTCTAATGGCCAGCCAGCCCCGAGAATCACTGGTTTCAGGATCACCTGGAACCAGACACACCTGTGTCCAGATCCTAAGTCTTTCGTGCTCTCCTTTGTGATGATGGATACGTAATCTATGTGAGCCCTTTACCCTGTCGGCAAAATGGGAGGGACTAATAAAACCCACCTGACAAGACTGTAATTCATCCACACATTCCTTCATTCACTCACTTATTCAGTGTATATTTATTGAGTACTTACTATGTGCTAGGCATCTAGCTAGATCTTGGGGATTTAGCAGTGAACGATACAGATATCTGCCCCCCAACTCAAAACAGAAACAATGGAGTTTTTGGCTTTATTTGCCCATGGAGTTTACATTTTACTGTTATGTGCATTAAATACAGTAACGTAGGTAAAGCACTTAGCACAATGCCTGGCACACAATAAATAGAAGGAATTATAGTAATAATCATGTTTGCACACATTTAACTAGGGTCATGTGAAATTGAGTATCATTTTAATTTCTAATAAAGCCTGATTACTTCAATGGAATCAAATGTCTAATTTACAACAAACAAGTGATTAGCCCATAAATGCACGAGCATTAGTAGGGTTGCAATTTGTTTTTCTCCGCTGAGGGTGTTCACTGGCAAAAGGCAATCATAAGCCAACCTTCCTTATGCCTTCCAGGAACAAAGATATCTGTAAATCATTATTACAAGGATGTAGTCAGTATCAAATATGCCATTTACATAGTTATATGTTATCCTGTGGATACCTCAGAGAAAATAGGATGCACTTGATAATACCATAGCATTAATGTCCGTCCTTGCGATTCTGCCGAAACCCTCTGCAGGATGGCTTTCGGAAAGGAGACTTGGCAGCACAGAAGTTCAAGTGCCTCTCTAATCCGATTAGGGCACTGATGGGGCCACGCGGTGACCTACCTCCAACAAGGTGCTCTTTGAAGAAGGAATGTAACAAATTTACAAAACCTCTAAATAAAGGAAGGAATGTTGCACTTTCTGGGAGCAGCTTTTGGAATCAAGTTTCAAAGTATAGAGCTATTATTATTGATCCTCTGCTGGTTTAGCAAATAGCTTCACTTATCTGGAGAGAGAACAATTGGAGAGAATGCTTGCTGAATAGTTGATGTTTTAGATTTTTCAAGCTGCTAGATTTTACTTGGGGATGGTGCCCTAAAATTTTTCAGATTTGAATTTGCTCTGCTGCATTAAGTCCGAAAATCAATTCATGTGACACCTCTGTAGAAACAATCCATCAGGAAAATTGTTGCCAGTTAGTGAGATCAATATTTTTATTTAGGAGAAGTATTCTTTTATTTGTGACATGCAACTGCTGCATTATATGCATCATGGATTATAAGTTTATTCACTGAGATTTAACAGAGCTGCATTTTATTGGTCACTGGTCTTATTTTCTTAAAATAAGAATGTTTTCCTTAGGGGGAAAAAAAAAGAATGATTTTCTTGCCTCCAAATACGTTTGTAAATTTGACCTCTGCTTCTAAATAATGTACAGTGACATAAACATCTCAGTACCTTTCCAGAGTATACAGTAAAAATCCACTACCTGGAAATCCATGTTAATTCATAGCAATAGAATATGAAGAGGAATGATATGGGCTGGCTGTGTTCTCCATATTTTAAACTGGTCTTCTAGTCTTTTATGCTAAATTTCTTATAATTTTTAAATACCTAGTATAGAAAATTAGAGTGCTGGTCTGGTTGGAATTGCACATTTTATATCTGACAGTATGTAACAGTGTATGTTCGACCTGAATATTTCTGAATAGAAGTCCAAGTTCAACATGGATTCACCATACAGGTCAACCCTTGCCAAGGTAATGCCTTAGCAGCCATTAGACAGTGGGGCAGCATAAGGTCAGCTGCTATTCAAGTAACTGTTGATGGACAGAGATTGCTCTGGGCCCCAGTTTCTGACCGATTATGGATTGTTTATATCTGGAGCACTCAGGTAGTTTCCGGTTGTCAGTGTTTTGGGCAGGGATGGGGGTGTGGATCGGAGGTATAGCTTGAGGCCACTTGATCAGGCAGGAGCCATCGACCTGGCAGGGTAGCTAACCATGGCATTCAAACCAGCACGTCTGGAGGCATAATTATAACTTGAAAATCCCAGTGGAATGCACGGTGTTATTGTTTCTTCTCCCAAGTGAATCAAATTATGTATGAAATATTTCTATTTTCCATGGTCTTCTTAGTAAGAATGTATACACAAGCTGCAAAGATTTTGTCCTAAAACAGTTTGTGAAGTCAAAAGACGAGTGCATCCCTTAGGACAGGGATTTTCAACCTAAACACTATTGACATTTGGGGCTGGATAATTCTTCAGTGTGAGGGGCTGTCCTGTGTGTTGCAGGCCACCTAGCAGCATCCCTGGCCTCTACGCATTAGATGCAACAGCACCCCCAAGCTGTGACAATCAGAAATGTCTCCAGACATTGCCAAATGTGCCCTACAAGGCAAAATCACCCGTACGTACGTGAGAACCACTGCCCCAAGAAAAAGAACACTTGAATTCCATTGTACTCTTCTAAGTACAGGATAAGTCAGGGCCAGACTAAATAAGGACATATTTTATTTTTTAAAAACATTTCTTTTGAGCTATAAGAATTACTTTTACATCTCAATTGCATAGAACTTTATTCCAAAGCTCTCTTGAATTCTGTGTAAACTCAGTGTTCATCTAACTTCTTATTTCTATAAGAGGGAAGAATTAGCTACATTCTAACATTCCCTTCATTTTAAAAAATTTCTGCGATTCTGTTCCTTACCATAGGGTAAAGAAAATTAATTGTTAAGAAGTCCTTTAAAGAACAGGATCCATTTTGTCCATGAGTTTCTGAGTTTTGGAGACAAACATTATTATTACACAAAATAATAAAAAACTTCAAGAATTGAAACCCCATTGAATCAGGAAGTTAAAAATACACCACCCATAAGGTGGAAAATTGTTGTGCTACATTATGCTTTAAAAAACTGGAAAAGCAAATCATTAAAGTAGCTTTCAGGTAAATTATTTAATTCTACTCAAGAACAGATATATTTCCTGATATGCAAATTGTCATATCACAAATAGAAACCACCCTCCTATATCCATGAAAGCATTTCTGGCAGAAATTCTGTCTTGTGATATTTTAGTCAGTGCTACCTTGTGTATTTCCTTGAAAAATCATGTAGCATTTGTTTAGCTTTCTGCCTCAGACTTCACATTCAGAATGGTTTCTTCCTAGTAAGGTAAATTCTTTGTTAAATATTTCACAAGTGTGTGATAAGCTGGTGGAATATTTATAGTTTCTCCAGAGAAACATACAACAAGTGAATATGCCAAATACTTTACCTTATGTGTTCAAAAGAAATTGTGTCATCATCATCTTTCACATATCCCATGAGATTTATTCACAGTTTATATTGACTGTGAAACTTTGTTATCTGCTGGGAGTTCTGCTTTATTTATTCCAGATAATAGGATACTTGCAACCCATTAACTGTTGTAAACAGATCTTTCAAGTTCATCTGACATAGCAATTATAAAATCATTTCTTAGACAAGTTTCTAGGATTAAATCAGGACAAAAATGGAGATGAGGTGACCACAAGAAATTACTGCATTGAATAACTGATCTATTATTCAAAAAGAAATTACAAGTATTATAGACACCCAAGTTTCAAAATCCCAGCAGAAATTTAATGGGTTAATCACCTATTATATTTTAGAAAAACATTGACTGGATGACTGCTTATTTAAGAAACATTCTTATCCGTAGTGGGAGTAAAGAAACAGAGTTAAATGAAAGGAGGGAGGGGAGGGAAGGAAGAATGGATTATGGATGGGTGGATGGATGAAGGATCGATATGTAATGTGGGATATCAAATTCGGGCCAAGACCTGTAGATTAAATTTTGCTTTTTATTTTCTTTTTCAGCCAATGTTTTCAGTTGCACCAAGCTTAGCCACCAATGCATCAGCAGCCTTTAATCCCTACCTGGGACCTGTGTCCCCGAGCCTGGTTCCAGCAGAGATCTTGCCGACCGCACCAATGTTGGTTACAGGGAATCCTGGGGTCCCTGTACCTGCGGCTGCTGCAGCTGCCGCACAGAAATTAATGCGGACAGACAGACTTGAGGTAGGAATGATTAGTTGGTTTCTTTTTTTAAATTTTATTATGTTATGTTAGTCACCATACATCATTAGTTTTTGATGTGGTGATCCATGATCCATTGTTTTCCTATAACACCCAGTGCTCCATGCAGTATGTGCCCTCCTTAATACCCATCACCGGGCTAGCCCATCCCCCCACCCCCCTCCCCTCTAAAACCCTGTTTGTTTCTCAGGTCCATAGTCTCTCATGGTTCAGCTCTCCCTCCAATCCCCCCCCCCTTTATTTTTCCTTTCCTTCTCCTAATGTCCTTCATGCTATTCCTTATGTTCCACAAATAAGTGAAACCATATGATAATTGACTTTCTCTGCTTGACTTATTTCACTTAGCATAATCTCCTCCAGTCCCATCCATGTTGATGTAAAAGTTGGGTATTCATCCTTTCTGATGGCTGAGTAATATTCCATTGTATATATGGACCACATCTTCTTTATCCATTCATCTGTTGAAGGGCATGTCGTCTCTTTCCACAGTTTGGCTATTGCAGACATTGCTGCTATGAACATTGGGGTGCATGTGGCCCTTCTTTTCACTACATCTGTGTCTTTGGGGTAAATACCTAGGAGTGCAATTGCTGGGCCATAGGGTAGCTCTATTTTTAATTTTTTGAGGAACCGCCACACTGTTTTTCAAAGTGGCTGTACAAACTTGCATTCCCACCAACAGTGTAAGAGGGTTCCCCTTTCTCCACAACCTCTCCAACATTTGTTGTTTCTTTCCCTGTCCATTTTTGCCATTCTAACTGGTGTAAGGTGGTATCTCAGTGTGGTTTTGATTTGAATTTCCCTGATGGCTAATGATGATGAACATTTTTTCATGTGTCTGTTAGCCATTTGTATGTCTTCTTTGGAGAAGTGTCTGCTCATGTCTTCTGCCCATTTTTTGACTTGATTATTTGTTTTTTGGGTGTTGAGTTTGAGAAGTTCTTTATAGATCTTGGTTTCTTTATGGACTCCATTCTGATTTTCGAAGTGTGCTCTTTGTTTGCTTCTTCCATGGCCATAAAGGTTAAAAAAAAATCGAAGCAGAGATTTTGGTTTAGTGTTTGGAGCATTTTGCGAGAATTGAGGTATGCTGTGTTTGAATGGAATGTGTATAAAAGCCACAGCATCTCTACGTATGACAGTGGATAAGAACTTGAACCTGGGGTCGGACTGCCTGTTCACCTCGTTATGTCTCAGGTTCCTCATCTTTAAAGTGGACGTAATAATGACACTTTCTTCAAAGAGTTAGGCCGGTGTCTGGTACACAGCACATGCTCCCTAAATGTTCATCGTTGGTGTTACTTCTATTAAGAATAAATTCTCTTCCTCCCCTGACACTTGTTCTCACGACGGTTTGCTCAGTGACTAGGTATCAAGCATTTTAAAATTTATTACTGCAAGTTTCCTCGCAGACCTCACTGTATTTTGGTCGGAATAGCAAGGCAGCTTCGCTTGTGAACTGTGCTCTGATAAAAAAGTTTTTAAATTGGAAATTGCATCATGCTCTAAGTCTCAGAGTCAAGGATGATCAGATGTATGTGCTTTGCTATTTCAGCATGAGAAAGAAATGAAAGATGTAATTCTTACATTGAAGTCGTTGTTCAGAATTTCAGCATGGCTATAAATTAATGGATTTGGTAAGCTCCAGAATGAAGAAAAAAATGGCAACATCCCTGTACAGTGAAGCTCTAAAGCCTGGCATTCTTGTCCAACTAAGGAACAAAATGATTCTTCTTTTCCCTGGTTAGGATGAGGCAGTACTTAGGGCTGAGAAGTTTTGAGTGTTGTTAATTACTGAGAAAGAGGCAAAATAAGGCTGTTGTGTGAGCATAATTGACACTAATAATTTATCAGTGGAGCAGGAATTCATTTAATAAGCACCAGTTTCTTGTTTATGGGGTTTCACTACATGCACTGCAGAGAGGATCTCAGATTTCAGCGTAGTTATAGCTGCCACCACTTTTTTGATGGTAGTAACAATAGTTGGTATTTATGGGGTATTTACTATCTACCAAACGTGGCATCAACCCATCACATGCATCACATAGTTCACCTTCGAAACAATCTTCTGAGGAAGATACTATCATTAACTCCATCTTACAGGGCAATAAATTTAGGGGAAAAGTTGAGGCACAACTATGTGCCATATGTTCTATGGGTCATAGAAAGGATCTTTGTTCCAGTTGGGTATGAAGTAGAACTCTGTTTTTAAACATTGTATAACTCACTCCCATACAGGTGATAGTACAGAGAGGAAGCAAGAGATTCTGGCTCCTGTATATTCTTTAGAGTTGTTTGTTTGTTTAGACTTAGTTCTTACCTTTCATGAATATTTTGAAAAAAGCTGCTAATGAAGAGAGGACCATACGGAGAACTCAGAAAGGACTTTGAGACCTGGTTGCACAGCCCCTGTGGACCAAGGACCGCTGAGTGCTAGAGATACACTTGGCCTTGCAGGTGGTTTGTCACTGTGCAGTTGCACTTGCTCACTAGTAAACTGATGCTGTTTGCAGATAAATTAGGAGGAAATTTAGGAAATTGTAAATATTTAAAAATTACCAGAAGCTTAACATGTGAATCATCTTCCTCCTGCCCTGATCTTTACGAATCATACCCTGGGTTCCTAATGCATAATCGTGGATTGAAGGGAACCCAACAGGCATTCTGGGATGAATGTTAATGAATTAGTTATTAGGAGGAGATGATATTTAGGAAACTTAAAAATCTCTATTGAAATCTCTTTAAAGGCTGAGCTGTGTGGTCAGAACTCTTATAAACTAACCCTCCCACAGTTTTAGGTAGTCTGTAATCGGTTGTATTTTGTATAGTGTTTAATTAAAATGATGACTTTTATCATTGGCTTGGGGTTTCTGTCTTTTTTTTCTTTTCTTTTCTTTCTTTCTTTCTTTTTTTGGTGAGAAGCTACCTTGTGCATTTTCTTCTGCTGCTGGACTCACAAGTGGCTACTGCTACATGACTCTCATTTCCTCTCAACCTGAATTCCTCTTATCTAAATGCTTGACAGTGGGAGGGCAGCTTCCTATCTTCTTCTGGCTAAGAGGATCTGCTCCAGTGTCACAGTTACAATCTGTTAGCATATCGCCGAGGCTCAGGGGCGTGGCTTTCTGCTCAGCACTGAGATTTTAGACACTCCTCTCTCCAGCCTATTTCCCCTGGCACCAAGTGCACGGCACACAAGGATCTAAATGACGTGGCAGTAAGTGCACAGACGCACTTGCCGATTGGCCACATGCTTAGTTATTTAGGTTTAAATCTATAGTTTTTCCTCGTGGAACTCTGAAGTACATGTTTGAATTTTGAGTTCCTTTTAAGGTGAAAAAAAGCTTACATTAGTTTAAATATTGGCCAGCTGTTCTTGCCACTTCTTTCTCTCTTTTTGCTTCACACTGTTAGACCATAAGGAAATTAAAAATACCATAGATTATCAGAGTTCTAGTTCTTCTGTTTGGAAGAACTGACACATATTTACAGCACCCGACGTGAGGCTACAAAAAATGTTAAATCCAACAACAGGAACCCAAGAACAGCGATTTTGCTAATTTAGGTGAGTAGCCTTGGGTCAAGTTTCTCATCTTTTCTGAGCTTCATATTCCACACATATAAAATCAGGGGATTGAACGAGATAATCCATAAAATCGCATCCAGTTAGGACATTCTAAGGGACATTTAGGTTGTCTTTGTGCTTTTCATGCCAGCTATAAGCTATTGAAAATTTTATTTAAATGTAATATTTAAATAAATCTATTTAAATATATTGCATTAATTTCAATATACAAATATATATTACACATTTTATTTAAATACATAGATGTAAAACACACACATAAACTTTGTATCAGTATCCCTATTATCCATTGTTTGTTGGATACCTTTTAGGAGACTGTAGCTGCGTACTTTCTATACTGTAAAATTCAGTATTTATGGTATTCTCTAAAGAGGAGCAAAGCTCTTAAATATTGGTCACTGAAATGAGGCTTTTAAAATTCCATTTTGTGACTTTGGGATACCTTTTTGTAATTTCCAAGCAGCAGTTTTATTTTCAGTGATTATTTTAAGAAATTGTTAAAATCTATAGGTACTGGAAAGGACCTTACTTTATTCTGAAGAGCAACAATATCCAAGGGAGAACTAGTGAACATCTTTCAAGTAAAAAATATGGTGAGGAATATCTTTGAAACCTTTTAATTGCTGTCTTATCCATAACAAGAAAAGGTCTACATCGGGATAGTGCCAAGCTCGTAAATGATACCCAGTAACTTGTTAAATGAATGCAAAATGAGCCAGTCAACCAGTTAATTAATTAATCACAAAAAGACACATGCCTTTATTCAGAGTTTAGTGTAATCCAACAGAGAAGATAAAACATGAAGAATTTTTAACATTTGTTAACATTCTCCTTGGGAACATGTTTACATTTTGAGCATTCCAACTACAAAATATGTCATCTCGTTCTGCCCCTAGTCCTAGAGCAGTGGTTTTCAAGTTTTAATGTGATTAGAATCACCTGGATGATTGCGAAAAATGCAGGGCCTCATCCGCATAGACTGATGCAGTAGGTTTTCAGTAGGGCTTGGGAGTCTTTTTCACAATACTGCCCGGTGATTCTAAATGCAAATAGTCTATAAAATACTTACTCCACAGGGTGCGAACACGTGCTATTTAAATCTTAACTTCTCATCATTTACCTTATGTACAGTTATTTGTGACTCAATTAAAAACCTGCCTCCTCCAATACACTTAACATTCGACATTTTGTTAAGTTGCTGAGAACACAGTGCACATAACGAAATATTTCAAGTAAACTGGTAATTATTAAGGTCATTTATATTGCATAATAGCATTAATCAAACAAAAAACTAACCAGTGACTGTATATTTCAGATACTGATGAAGATACTAGGTTGCTATTTGGTTAACTGCATCATTTTTATATTAACAGTCTATCTGAGATAAACATAGGAT